ATACTTTCCCCTGAAGACGGCGCTATTTCAAATTACTGCACGAAGCGAATATTAAACTATTAACTGTCATATCAGCTGAAATAGATTACCGTACGAAAACCATATACCAAAATATGTTTTTAATAAATAATTACGAAGAACTCCGTCTAATTGATAAAAATTATGAAATTTCTGAACGTAGTCCAATACTATCGATTGTAAATAATTAATTTTTCTACAACCATCCAACTATTTTAGCATTGATCAAAGGTGCTCCAAGAAGAGTAAGGAACGTGCAGAATGAAGAACTGGTCCTTCAAATGATTGAGGAGAATCCCAACCGAAGCATCCGTGATGTAGAGAGGAACACTGATCTCTCACATGGTACCATCCGAAAGTTTTTAAAGGACAATGGTTTTCACGCATATCATTACAAGCGTGTACAGGAACTTCAAAAACGTGATCATGCAACAAGGTGGCTTACTAGATTCGGAGATGAAGATCAAATTTCAATCTTACAAATAATTATTCTAGCGATGAAAGCTTTACTCTTGACAGGTAATAGATAATTCGTGTTAACATTTGGAGTGATAGTTTTTTTTTTAACTTACGAATCGCTTTATTTGCTATGCACCTGTCATTTAGCCCTACTTGTCACTTTAACACGTATTTTTATGTGAGCATACAAAACTTTCATCGACGGCGGCTGTTTCAACTATTTTGCTTCCTACGATTTAACACACAAAATTAATGATTATGAGGACAGCACCGTAGAAGTGCATACTGAATAAATAATTTTTGCGTACTTCTTGGATAGTTTAAAATTCTTCTGACTGTCAAATTTACTTAATCCAGACAAAGTGCCAAGTCAAACATAAATATCAGACACTCAATCCTTATAGTTACTAAAACTATATAGTACGACCCACAATTCAGAAATGGATTGTATCAAAAAATAAATAGTAAGTTCAATAATCACTCCACAGTATTTTTTAGTTACTTGGGTATGGTCTTATACTTACCAAAATTTAGTGATGCTGATAATTCAAAAAATTTATCCAGTACATATTTTAGCGTAAAAGTTTGTTCTCCTTCTTCTTTCTTGCAACGTTGATACATCAATAACTTTCCTCATTCAACTGTTAGTCCGCAAAGACGGAAGTCGCAATTTTTATATAAGTCGATCTCAGCATTCGTCATCACATTACCTGCTCTTTAACCCTGTCTTTGTACATGTCAAAAACTAGGTAATTTTTTTTCAAAAACATTTTATCATTAATTTATCATGTAGAATTTTGTATTATTATGTAGACTGGAATTCTGCCGTGAAATGCAGTGAAGAATTGCTGCTGATGCTGACTTCGTGAGAAGAATCCTGTTCACTGATGAGTCGAATTTTGGGTGGGATAGAACGTTTAATGTTAACAATAACCACCATTGGCCTGATGTTAATCCAAATGTGGTAGTTGTGAACAAGCACCAGCATAGATTCTCCACTAATAAGTGGGTCGGCCTGATTAATGATAGAGTGGTAAATTATGTTTTTGTTAATTACGATTTTGGTCTTGATTAGTAAAATACTAAGTTTGAATTTATAGATAATTTTCTCAAGTTAATAATAGTCTTGCATACCATTGTAGATTGGAGCTAGACAATTTCCCCAGAGATTGAATGCTCAGGATTATTTGCGGTTCCTGCAGAATGACTTACCAAGACTGCTTGAAGATATCCCTCTCTTGACAAGACAAAGAATGTGGTATAAACATTACGGCGCTTCAGCTCACGAGTCTAACGTTGTGATCAATTATTTAGATCAAGTTTCTCCCAACAGATGGATTGGTATCGGAAATACACCGATCACATCTATTTCATACCTTTAAATCTATCCTTTTTTTCCTCACATTACATTACACTTTTCTTGTTAGCGAGTAAAGATATTTCACTTGACTACTACTATCTGTAAATATACCACCTAATAATGTCATTATGAGGTGGCTGCTACTACTTATAAAAGTCTTGTTTATCTATCCATCCTTCAATACATCCTTACTATTTCCTTAGGTAAAATCTGTTGGCCCGCTCGATTGCCAGACCTTAATTTCCTTGATTTTTTATGGGAGGCTATAAAAGATCATATTTACAGAGAAGGAATCCAAGACTTAAATCTAGAAGAATGCATAGCAGCTGCAATACAAAATATCACTCCAGAAATGGTTTGCGCCGCACTCGTTAACTTTGAACGCCGGCTGCAGTGTTGCATTAAATATAAAAGGGGTCATTTTGAAAAATTTATGTAAATAATGCATTTTATGGGATTTAATTTTACAACACCATACAATGAAGCTTATTGAAAGAAGTATGATTAACATTTTAATTAAAAAAAAAAAATACATAAATAAAAGCATTTTGTCGCGAAGTAAGTGTTGTGATTTGTTGATACCTTCATATTTAAACAGTACTTAAAAAAAAGTTAGGACGAGTTTATAGTACGACCAATTAAGCCAGGGTTAAAATAACGACTTACTTACGTAAGACTTGAGCCGTACTTGAGTAGTACTTGTGCCATACTTCAATGGCACTCCAGCAGTACTTGGGCAGACTCAACCGTACGTTAGTACGTCAGACTAGGCCGTTATTCGGTGGCACTTCCGCGGTACTTTAGTGGTACTTCAGCGGTATCTTAGCCGTTATTGGGCTGACTGAGTCGTACTTTAACGGTACTTCAGTGGTACTTTGGCTTTACTCTAGTGGTACTTCAGAGGTACTTAAGCTGTACTTCCACAGTGTTTCAACGGTAGTTGGACCGTATTTTAGCGGTGCCGTAGTGGTAGTAGTTTCATGAGTCGTCTTACTCAATCTGCCTTGTCCTTTACCTTTTTTTTTTAATTTTTCAAGGGAGGCTTTATTGACATAAATTTCGTAATCCGCATGTAGAAGCACCTAAAAAATTAAGAGATTAAAGTATAAAACATACTCATAATTCTTTCGAATGAACCACTAAAAATGTATACAGCGACAAATGAAGAAGGGAGGGAATAAGTTAAAAGACAAATCTTGGAGATATTAGAATTGGGCACGTCAAAGGTCTGATTTCTGGTTGTAAAAAAATTGAGCATTTTGTTTGATTATCTTTTTATCTTGTAAAAGTACGCTTTTCAGATTCGGTGCATATACTATGTAATGCTAACTCAACAGTGGCTGTTGGTGTTCACTGTTTAAAAAAAAGTTATAATGTATAAATGTTAGTGACTAATTTATGTTTACCTTTCTAGTCACTGTTCGGTCATCTGCCTTATGATTGTCCTCATCAAGTAAATCTTCATCTTTGGCTAAAGAATGTAAAGTTGTAGTGTATTATTAATAATTACTTGATACTAAAAAAAATAATTTAATTAACAATAATTGAAGGGGACGTAGTGATTAGTACATAATTAAATTACTTGGCGTCAATTGGTTGTTAGTCGTTAAACAACATAATGTAATAGCAGATGATGAGAAACCTAGATAATGACATAAAATAGAAACTGTAATAAAAATCACTATAAATTTTAAAGGTTAGAACAAACATAGATTTACTAAAAAATCTTAGAATGTTTGGCATTATGAATAATAGTACCTCTGGATAAGACTTCCAGACTCCCCAGAAAACGCTTATCATCTGGAATTATATAAAAAAATGTATGTATACGGCAGTGCGTATGTTATAATTTTTTTGCATACGTGATAAGCTCTCTCTTTGTTAAAACTAATTTACCTTTTTGCGTTCGTTTAGTTTCTACTGAAAGTTGTTTTGTATAATGTTAAGTCCAGCAAAAATAATTTTTAAATTACTAGGTTTTAAAAATNTGACTGTCATGATGAAGCCATTTGTAACCATCCCTTTGCAACCAAGATCTCAATCCTGGTACATCTTCAGCTCGAGCTCTTAAAAATGTCATGAAGTTCGAATTTTCATCGTTATTAGCACCTCGAATCGGAAGACCTTGTCTCGCTAGTGCTTTGAGAGTACTAAATATTTTTAATAGTGATGTTCAATTATCCATCATTTGTTTCTGCTGAGCTGATGATAAAGATTGTGCAATGTTGACACTTTCAATATTTTTCAAAGCTTCAGTACAGTCAATGTGTAAAGAACTTGTTTCATGAGTCTTTACTCGATCAGCTCCATGCTTCCAGTTGGAAAATCCACCATCAACCCAGGCCTGCTTTGATTTCAGTTTATGTGAGTCAAAAACGCTGATTAGATTTCGCTCACATGCATCTGTACCGATAGTACAAATACCTTGACTATTTTGGTTTAGTCCAAGCCACGGGTGATTTTTGGCCCAGCTATTAAAAATTGTAGGCACCGAAGAAATATTTACAGTCAGGGCTGGAAAAAAAAATCATACAAATAACAGGTGTTGTGTATATATTTTGATCAGCTGTATGAATGAGCCTTGTCACATGGGCACCCGTGATATACAATTCGATAATAGAAATAAAGCTTATAAAATCATTGTTTACACACACACATAAATATAGGTAGAGTACCTCTGGCAAACTGTTTTGGTTTTCAACGGACTAACGCTACATATGAATACACACACGCACACCTATATACATGAAATCTCGTGAGATTATCGCGGCTTTGAAAGTACAAACTCCTGTAATTAATTAACTGTAATAAAGTGCACCCACGGTTTTCAGTATTAACTGGCTCGACTGATTTATCAATGGCTCCAGTGGACGAAGAAGCCACTTCTGAATAAGATTTCTCTTCTTTATTTTGCTGCCTAATAGCATCATCTACACTCTCCTCGTTTTTCCTTTTTATTCTTACCACGAATTTATCCATCTTCGCTCAATACCGATGTATATATACATATATCAGTATGTACATCATTGAATGACTAACATAACTAATTAAAAATAGTAGTTTTGTAAATAAACTAGAAAAAAATAAGAAATTTTAGATTGATTACGGTAGTCTAAACTCTTAAAAAAATGATTCGTTGAAAAAAAAATTTCTTTTTACACAGCATCGTCCAGTACATAAAAGGCAACGTGAAAGCTACGATCGAATTTTGAAATGCGTCACGCACTTAATATACTTATTGACCACGACGGCACAAAGTGAGGATGACAAGGCAGAAATGCGGTCTTTGGTGTTCGATTTAGTAAAGCAAAGTCCAAGATCGTCCTCAACGGAAGACACTCTCTTACATCTCTGCGTCTCACACTTAAACACAATAAGTTCAAGTTATTTTAGTGCCGACGAAATTCACGTAAGATCCGTTATTAATAAAATTGTTCACAACTTAGTGCGTTTCCTTTTACTTACTATTTTTGTATTACAAAAAATCTTTTATTTATCTTTATCATAAAATAAAAAATATGCCCTGGTTCTTTACATTTTTCCATCTGTTTCAGAAGATTTTTCCGAATTTTAAAGTGGTGAAACTTTTGTTAGAAGTCGGAGCACCTGTGAATGCCCGAAACGAATCTCGATCTACACCTTTGCATGTAGCTAGTAACGTTTATAACTTTAAAAATCACGTACGTGATGTACTTTATACCAAATACAATAAAAAATGATAATACATTAAACAATAAGTATTATTTATTATTATTATTTTTATTTCAGCTGGTTAAACTATTGTTGGACTACGGCGCACATTTGGATACGCCGAACAAAGCAGGAGACACTCCAGCTAAACTTATATCTTCAAATTCGCTCAACAATATCAATCTTGTTAAATACTTGACGCTTCAGTGCCAAGCTGCCCAAGCTGTCTGCAAGTATGGCATCAAATCGAAAGAATTGCCGCTTACACTTTATCATTTTCTTGAATACCATAGAACTGAATAATTTTCTAGTTTGATGATTTTATTTTGATTGCGACAAATTAATTGTTGGACTGTACTTTAGATTTGAGACTTGTACAATAATATATTGTCTTTTGTTAATTCTAATATTAAATTGTCAATAATAGATTTCCACTGCATGGTTTATGACAACTGCAATATCAATATTGATAAATAGTATGGGCATGGTAAGCAATAAATGAATTCTCGTTTGAAATATCAAAAAAGTTAACTGGATCATAACATTTCAAAGCTTAGGCCCAACGCACAATATTTGTGGGTGACCCTATAAATAAAATCAAACAATAATTGCTGTTCTTTACAATAACAATAAATAAATACAAAACAATAGTTCTCCTTGACACTTGCTCTTTCGTTATGATTAATGGTAAATATACAGACAACAAATACTAAATGATTGGAGCATGACTGTTTACTAAAAAGTATGTACACAGTTAATCAATATTTGAATCATACAGGTGCTAGGACAGCACGTCAGCCTGACAAGTATTGCGCTTTTACAAATTACACATTGCTCTAAACAAAACACACATAATTAAAAACTATGCACTTCGATACATATAAAATCAAGAAAAATAAGTTGTTTTTATTTAATTCAAATGTATTGACGTGTACAGTTTTTAATTATGTATATTTTTTTGGGGCAATGTGCAATTTGATTTGTAAAAGTGCAATACTTGTCAGGCTGCCGTGCTGTCCTAGCTCATGCATGATGTTGATGTCCTGAAATGGCCATTAGTAAAATGGCGAAATATTGGTCAACTGTATACATACTTTTTGATAAATAGTCATGCGCCAATCACTCAGTACTTCTTGTCGGTATCATTTACCAACAATTAATAAAGTTTCGACAACTTACAATATTTAATCTTTTTAACCGAATTTTTCAACGTATGGTACCTGTGAGCTAGTTGTACAAATATAAAAGTTATTGTACAAAACTCATCATTTTTATGAAGAAAGATATTAAGGAAATAAAAACAAACTTAAAATTAATTACAGTCCTCACGTATTAAATAAAGTTATTAATAGTCTAACCTGCCCAAGGCCCATTAGGTTATGATTCAATTTTTCTTGAGCAACTTTTATTCATATAACTGATCGTTTGTATCATTTTTTTCGTTCAAATAAGCAGGGGCGGCAGTTGGAGTTTTGACCGAATGGGTAGTATTCGATTGAAGATCAGCAAATAAGATTTTTCAAACTGACTTACTATATTACTGTTAAGATAAAAATCAGTGAACAGTGGGTACATGGGTACCCAAGTATGAAATAATACTTCTAAAAAATCATATGGCAGACAAATATGATTATAAATATAAATACACCTTCTATAAAACGACATTGTGAACAAAGCTGATGCAATTATCGTTAGAATAAGTATAGCTACGTTCATTGGGTGTGGTTAAAAATATTTAAATAATTAATAAATGAACGATTACAAGCAATATATTACGGCACAATATAACATGAACAATTTGTAAGCTGACCAGTACAAGACTGTTCGCTTTCATCAAATCTTCCAGTGATTTCAAAACAATTTCCTACCGCTTACGCTGAAAACATTTCTAATGTGTCACTAACATCTGTCACATATGCTAACACATTTATTCTTGTTTCATATCTAATACCAGAAATGTAGTTGTATCTAAAAAAACCATCCTGTAATACCGCTTTCTTTAATAGGGTAGTATTACATGCCAGTCAATGTCCCTTCAGAACGTTCATCACCGATAGGTTTTTTGACAGATATTATTTAACACATCAAACGTACATTTAAAATAGCGTGAAAAATAACCACAAATAATGGCAGCTCGTTTAAGTGTACCCTTTTTTTTATGTGTTTCCTTTTGAAAAAATTCAATGTAACATGTAACATTACGGAAGAATCGCGTAAAATTTTATTTATAAGATTAGTAGGTATAGTAGGTTGAAAGACTATGTGTGCATTTTAATTGTATGTTTTATGTGGAAAAAAATGAAAGAAACCGTCAAAGTTGAGACTTGAGCACGAAAAAAATATACAATTCTATGGACAAACGTACAATTAATTGAGATGATGAGTAAACACAAATATTCAGACAAATCATGGTGTGAAAGTAAATTTTACTTACCACTCTTCATAAAAATTTTTGCCGAAAACCATTGATTTTCCCATTTTGCCGAAGTTTTCTTCCCATGGTCACGCACATCAGTCGATATGACCACATCATAAGTCGAAGGTAACGTATTCAACAGAACTAACGAAAACATTTTCTTTATCTCCAATACCAAGTAAAGAAAACCAACAGCAGTAGTTGTGTAGTACTAGCAGTAGCAATTGCAAGAAAACAACACTTTTTTAGCAGTTAATCAACAACTAAAGTTGTATGTGACAACGACATAGCGCAATACTTTGGAACGAATTTAAAAGTTGTATTATTTAAATTTTAAAAAAATTTACCAATAAACACAAGGTAATACCATTTTTTTACGAAATATTAAATTCGCAGTAATTAATTAAACGTACCATTTAATTTATAAAATGCTATACTTAAAAATGCATCCATGAATTCAATTTTTTAAACATATTTTTACAGCATCCAATAAACTATCATCTGTAGTAAATAATCGGAAATATCAATGATAAAAAAAAATTTTCAACATTTGGTCCTACATTCTGTTAATTTAATAATGATATGTAGGTTACGCTGCACCTCTATTCAGCTACGTATAAAATGAAGGTCTATGTGCTTGTCTAAGTATAAATTATATAGGTTACATAAAAACGGTGCATGAAAATTCACTTTACCATCATAAACATATCCACAACATCATGTACTCGCCACCATCTTCTACTAGGACCTCATAGAGAACAATATCTCATCTCGTATATCCACCGTTTTGGAGTAACGCAAGAAACACGTGTGTGTTTGTAAGTGTATATGTGCAAAAATTTCAGCCAGCTACATACTCGCGGTTGTTGGCATAAAAAGTACGTACGCCACCGAGGACATCATCTAATCAGCTGCTTCTATGTCCCTATCTGCTGCAGCTCAAATACTAAACACTCTAGATGTAGGTTATAGGCACCAGGGCATACATATAAGCACGCAACATTGCGTATCTTGTACCATGTAAACACCACAAGCATATGTCAGTTTATGAGAGCTGTTGCATGCATACTCGTACCTGCACCCATAAGTGGGAAAAAAAGGGCTGGGTCGGTGGCACACTATCGAACACATTACGTGATCAAGGTAAATAAACATATTTACACGCGCACACAAACTCATGCCGTAGGGGCTGACAGCAGGACTGCATACCGGAAGTATTAGGGAACCTCGCGATTTTACGATGGAAAAAACGGCAGTATCGACAGCTACATAGTAGTTTTAGCAGACGTAGTGCTACGGTATGACAATTGTATATGTCAATTGCTGGTGAATGAAATTGTATAGTAGATATTCTGCTTACCGACTTCCACTGCATGGCAACGCCGCTTCACGTGTTTGTTCGCGCCATAGTAAAGTGTTCGAAAATTCGAAAGTGTGAAAAGGGTGCAAATAACCCTTAAATTGTAATGCTTGTCGTTTAATGTCTACTGCATTAAAAAATATGCAAAAATGGCGTTAGAACCGAAAAAATTTATACAACACGCTCTATCTCGCTGATAAAGTACTTACTGATCACCCATTAAATAGGTATAGTAGCAGTGTGAGGGGAATGGAGTACGTGGCTTATATGCGAGAGAGAAAGAGATGGAGCAGTGGACAGTAAATTGGCACGCGCTCCGAGAGAGAGAGAGAGAGAGAGAGAGAGCGGGAGGGAGTGTGTAAGCGAGAAGTATTGAGGAGAGGGCTTGGGCTGCAGGAAGGATGGCTACGTTTTTTCGTAACGCATTTTCCCTCACGCAGCTGCTCACGACCCAACATAAGAAGTTTCACTTCAAAAAGTTCTTATTCCAAGAAAAACTTTAAATAGTAGAACGCCTTCTCTACCGTTTATTTCGTATGGAACTTAATTTCCTGTAGTTTAATATTGTATTAGACACTAGTCATCACTTACTTCTATGTACATTATTAGTATGTATAAACCCATCTAATTTTCTCTATTAGTAATTTTTTCTAACATGATAAGAAAGTTTATATTTAATAGCAAAATTTTTTTGACAAATTATGTATAAATAGTTTTTTAAATATGAAGGGATAAATGAACAGATTACTATATTCATTAGTTGTTTTTCTTCTTAAAATTAGGGATCAGAGTGTTCTGTCTCTTCGTGGTTTCACAGGGCTACTAATAATGACTACCGTGGTTTCTATCAGTTTTTTACTACTTGAATTTCAATAAATATATATGATCATGTCATGTCTTAGAATTACACGTAATTGTTCAAAACTTAATTTATGGGAGAACCCTCACCCTTGCCCCTCACCGTTCCGTGCCGCCTCACCAGCCCATCACAAAAAATTTGCTTATGAAATCTGAAATTAAATTTTGCTTCTTTCTACATGATTAAAAAAAAAATAATAAAATAAA